GAGGGAAGAAGTAGAATTTCCTATCTGCTGAATGAAGATGAAAGAATTAACTTGTTTGTATATATCTTTTGCTGATAAATATAAATTCTAATGGAGAGACTTCTTCTTTCCATTATTGTTGGCACCAAAGCTAGTAGAGTGAAATTATTAAGATCAACAACTATGGAGGCCCCTCTTATGGGTTTGAATCCTGCCTCTGCAGTGACCTTCTTGAAGTTATTTCACTTCTCTGGACTTCAGTTTCCAATTTCTAAATTGTGAATAATACTTACCTATTAAGATTGTTGGAAGGATGGAGCCAGGTATAGTGTGGGGTAGTGTCACATGCCTGTAATTCTAGTGACTCCAGAAGCTCATGCAGGAGGATTACAGTTCTAAGGCTAGCCTCAGAAACTTAGCAAGACCCTAAGCAAATTAGTTGAGACCCTWTTTCATAATGAAAAAATAAAAAGGACTGGGRATATGGCCCAGTGGTAAAGTGCTTCTGAATTTAATCCCCAGTACCAAAGGTGACGGGGGAAGGAAGACTGTAGATTGTTGTAAGGTTAGAATCAGTTAATGAACGTGAAGTATTTGTAATAGGCCCTGATGTGGAATAATGCTTAATAAAATGCTATTATACTGTTAGTAGTACTCTTACCACCACCTTAATCATGATTTTTACCTAGATGATTGGTGCTCTGCATGTAATAATCGAGAATAAGTAGCCTACAGAATCAAAGTAGACTGCTGCTGGGGGAAGGCAGATGTTGGCTAGATTTATTCAGAAACTATATGGGTAATAGGCAGTCCTTGTTTGGCCCAGTTATGATATGTATGAATATCTGTTGTCATGGTTTAGTTAAATAACTGTATCCACTTGTCTGCAAAGTTCAAGTTTGTGTTATTGTGGTGTATTAACTGTGAGTGATTACATGAAATACAAACTTTACTGTTACCTCTTCTTTCCATAAGTCATAATGTAAATACATGATCAGTCACCGTGTCACTTTTTTCAAAGTGATAGGTCTCAGTGTGTTCTGTTATTCAGTTAACTTACAGACTGCAAAGCATGTTGCATTGCTTCCTTGTCTCCTAGTGATAACTCCATGTGACATTTCACAAAAAATGGAAAACTGAAAGAGAAAACTTGGCACCCGAGATAAAAATGTAGCAAAGAAGTGAAAAGTAATAGAAGATATGAAAATGGTGATAGTAAATATGAAGACAAGCTGAGACCTAGGTTCCATGAAGCTGGGATGTGAACCATACTGAAGAGGTCTGCTGAATTCAAAACACATGATAAAGTCACTCCAATGTCTTTTAGTTTAAATTTCACTTGGAATAGGAAGCTGCTCATGGTTGAATTGGAGTAACTCAACTTCTTTTGGTTGAAGACTAGTAAAAAAATTACAATAAGTTTTGCTAGCATTGAAGCCAAGTACAGCTAGTTACCACATTGAAAGGGAATGGTATTACTAGGAGACTGGAGTTCAAGCATCTCTTCAGCTAAATTTTGAAAGCAATATGACATAAAGAATACAATTGAAAATATTCAGACATCATGTCAAGAAGCAACAGTGAACAGTATGTGTGTAGTGTGGCAACATCTGTAGTACACTGTAGAAATAAAYTTTCAGGATTTGTATAGGACACATGCAGAGTTAAAGTAGTGACTGATTCTCTGTGGGAATGTCGACACTGCTCCTATTCAAGGGACTCTAGATAAGCAGCAGAGGAGCTTAGGGAAGATGAACCTATCAACATGAGTAAGGACAGTGGTTCTGTTGAAGTTGGGGGGAAAGAATGTCTCAGAAGTGACTTTGGCAAAATCTTCACATTCGAACAACTTTTGGATATTTTACAACATCGAAAATGCAAAGACTAAATGGAAGCTGATCCAAATTCAGAAAGGAATATGACAATTTCGTGTGAGGCACTTGGTTCCATCCTCAGCACCACATAAAAATACATAAAAAAATAAAAGAACAATACCTTTGTGTCCAACTACAACTAAAAAATAAATATTTAAAATAAGCCATAAATACAATAATGAAGTAGTGTTTGGCTTAAAGTTAAAACATTTGATAAATAGGAACTTCTATAGTTAATATTTATTGATATAATCTCATTTTCAGGAAGTTTGATTTCAATTTTTGAGTCAGGTCAGCTATTTACTGTATAATAAATAATGTCTAGTGTGGGTCCATTCTTCTTTGTTAACATTCTGAACTTACAGGCACCATAGAACTTGCTATATCAAATTGTAATTGCCTGTTTACTTATTTTCCTTCCTTACTAAACTGTGAAAGTCTTGAAAAAATAGGTGGGATATGAGTTTGCTTTCTACCTTACCAAGTAAGTTTATAAAAGAAGGTTGAATGCTTTGAACTCCCCAATAAACTGCTTAATCTTCACATTAGGGGTTTATGTTTCTAATAATATCTATCTAATTCCCTACACATTATTCCTAATAGATCTTGCGGGTCTCCATAGGAAGCCTTGTATGCTCTAATGAAGTATAATTTTGGAAATTACTAATACAGTTTGATAGAAAAAAATATGTGATTTTAGTGCTAGAAGAAGTAAATTTTAGTGCCTCTCCCATTTTCTAGAAGAGGAAGCAGAAGCCTAAGGGACTAGGTGCTTTCTTTAAGGTCACACTGCTAGTTGGTGGCAGGAATTTTTAAATTCATAATCCAGGAAGAGTAGTACATTAAAAGATCATCAAGCTAAGGTTAATAAGTATTGCCATTTAAGGGAAATTCAAACCTCTAAGGCTCTTTTTGTGGTAAAGTTTGATATAGGAATATTATGCTAAGAAAATATAAAATTTTATCCATTTTACTTGGATGTGCTTGAGAAACAAAATAATATAAAATTTTAAATTTTAAAAAGAGCCAAAAGAAAGAAGAGRGGATAATTTTAAACTGATGGCATTGGTTCCAAAAGGGATTGAGGGACATGGAGAAATTATTATTTTTCAAACGTACAGTGCTTTGGTATTTGTTAACTTATTACGATGAGTGTATAATAGCTTTGTAACTTAAGCAACATTATAATAGTTWAAAAACAATAAAACACCATAATATACCCACGGGAAATGCAAGCTTGAGCAAAGTTTGCAAGAAAGTCGGAGACAGATCTGTCCTCATTAACCTTAGTTGAGGAGACCAAATTTTAGATCTGGAAAAGAATTAACTCTTTTATTAAAGGCAATAATACTGTATAATACCGTGAATTGTATGATTAATTTCATTAAATTTATATAGACAGTATTATAGGAGTTTATAGGCAAGAGATTATAGCAGTATATAGTAATCATTTAAGTTTTGAATACTAGAGTATAATTATTTATGTTATACTAGATTATATTTTGTTCAATGATACAATGATATATTTGAAAGTTATCATCAAAACTTATAAACTTTAATTGTGGTATATGTCCAAGATAAAGTTGGATGCCAGAAGGCAAGGATCCTCAAGCACTCACAGGACATATGTAYTTCCCTTACATGTATTGGAATAGGACTAAGAACAAAGCTTGTTCATGGAAGAGAAGACAATGCTGCTGGGAAAGTGAATTTCAGGAAAACAACAAGAATTAGATTAAGGGTTGACTGACAAGCTATCACTATTGTGAAGTTTTAAAAAGTGTTATGTTTAATATAGTTACATTCTTTACCCTTGTGTAACTCCATAGCATATCTTCAGATTTTGGGAAGATATGATGAAAACATTATTAAGTGTGAGTATGCACTGTTGGCAGAGGAACGCTGTACAGATTACATTGCTTCTTGAGTTATGGAACCTGTTTAATAGCAATATGAATTTGGGTGAATTGTTTAACTTCTCTGAACTTTACTCTGCCAACTTATAGAATGGAGTTAACAATAGTCTTATAAATATAAAAATCTTAGATTTAGGTGAATTTTAGTGCTTATGAAAATAATTTACAAATGAAGTGGTGGTGTTGGTAGGATTCCTAAAGCTTTTCTAGCATCAGGAAGCACAGAGTAAGTAGTTCATATAACTTTTTCTGTTTCTTTTAAAAATATATTTTTAATATATATATTATTACTATGTGTCATAATTATACATAATAATTGGGTTCATTTTGACAAAATAGTTGCATATAAGGAATTTGATTTTGAACTACATTCTCTATCCTTTTTCCTCCCTCTCCTCCCGCCTCTACTCTATAAAACTTCCTTTCTTCTATATATACATAAAAGTGAAATTCCCTTTGGTATCTTTATAAATGAATTTAATATGATTTTGTTAAATTCATCCTATTTGCCTTCCCCTTTGCCTTTCTTCCTCCCTCACTTTTGTTCATATAACTTTTTTTTTAAATGGTATTTTTTTAATATTTATTTTTTAGATGTAGATGGACACACACAATGCCTTTATTTTTATGTGGTGCTGAGGATCGAACCTGGGTCCTGTCCGTACTAGGCAAGCGATCTGCCGCTGAGCCATAATCCCAGCCCTTTGTTCATATAACTTTTATTTAAAAAACTGAGGATATAGTATGACTATTGAGAGTTAAGGTTTTACTTTACTTTCTGTTAATCTGATCTGATGCAGAGAGAGCTCAATGTCTTAGACTTGTTTTCAGAAATTTAATTTTTAATTTTGCTGGGTTAATTGATCTTGACCTATGTGTTTGGAGTAACTTTAAGGCATAGAAAATCTCTTTTGTATTCCTAGAAACTAATTCCAATCTCACTAYCATATTTTCTTACAGTCAACAAATTGTGGCCATTTTTATGAGGGTTTCTGATTTTGGTTATCTTTATATGCAAAATAAAGATCTGGAAATTTTGATAACTTATTTCTATGGGATTTTATTATATAGCTTAATGAATTCTTATTTTTGATGTTCTTAAAACAGCTAAAGTTATTTGGAAGTGCAAAGCTCAGATTGTATACTTATTATTAAAAGGTTTTTTGCTCACTGGGCTTCTATATATTCTTGATACCTTATTTCTCCTTTTTTCTTTCCCCAATATTTTCAGATGTTTTGGAATGTTATTAAGCCCAGGTCGAAACGTGAAGAACAGTGACATGCATTTACTGGATATGGTAATGATAATCTTAAGCACTTTAACCAAGTATAGATACTAGTTATTTTATATTTTAGAGCATTTTCTATTTTGTCATGTTTTCAGAATTGTTTATTTTAGCTTTTAGTATTAATAATTAAATTTGGATACTGAAACTTAAATTATGAGGGAGGGATTTAGTATACTTTCCCATTAAACAAGCATAGGCAAGTTAAAAACAAAACAAGGATAGTGTTATGATAATGTCCATCTGTTCAACTCTTTCACTTAGGAAAATGTCTCTTCTTTGATCTTAAAATATCAAGTATATGATTTTAACAAGCATCTCCAAAGTGGATATGGTGCCTTTATTTTAATGCTCTATTAATTAGAGTACTGTGATGTTTTCTTTAAAGCATTTCCCTGTCTGAATTTCTCCTTGATTATGTGTCCTTAGCAAAGTATATTTGCTTTATTTCAGAAGTGCCCTTAAAGACGAACACAGTATTYGGTGTAAAAGTAGCAAGCCATCTTAACTTTTAAACATCTTTTAAATTCTAAGATTGCATTTAATGAAAATTTTTGCTTTGTGACTTAGAAATGTTATATAGGAAATAATTACCTTCATAAAGCATTAATTTTCCTATTTAGTAAACTGAGATTTTTATGTTTAGTGGTAAGAGGTATTACATTTTTTTCTTTCAGCTGTGCTTTGTACATGTCATTTAAATATCATTATTATGTCAAGTTCTTTGAATTATTTCATGATAATGTTAATGCTGATTTTTTTAGCAGTTCTGGAATGCTTCATTCAGGCCTTGGGAATTTGTGTGCCAGTCATTGTGCGAAGTGATGGGATTGTAGATGTGAGTGGAATGTAGCTCTCTCTCATCTGGAGTTCATAGTCTTGTGATGGAAACAGACTTTTAAAGTATGTACCTAGATCATTTGGGGTCGCGCGCCTCCGGGCCGAGCCGCTGAGTCCGTGGCTTTGACTGACTCGGTAGTTGTGCATCCGCCCTGAGAAACTCTGTGAGAGAGTGCTCCCAGTCGGCTCCCAGAGTGATGCCTAGCGCATCCCAGATGGTAGGATTCTAAGATGGCGGCGAAGGGAGTGCATCACCCCAGGGCGCTGCGTCACTAAGCGGGAGAAAGACGATGCGAAACGGCTGAAGGCTATCTTTGGGAATTTCCAGTGAAATTGAGGTGCTCCAGAATCCAGTGGACAGATTTCCATCGTGCGAAGTTCGGCTCTGAGAGCTCCATTTCTCCGCACGGAGGGTC